GGCACCACTCTGCCTCCAGTTGCATAGGCCAGCATTTCCTCCTGTCTCATTCATCCTTAAATCCTGTTGACTGTGTCTTGAATACCTCTTGAATCTGCCCACTTTTATCCAGATCCAGCTTTATTTTAATCACAGTTTCCTCTTCTTTTCTCTTTGATCCCTGACTTTTCAGTGTTGGGCTCCTTCCTGCTACAGAGCCCTTGCTACTCACTGCCCCAAATAGTTATTTTCCCCTCAAATCATGTCTTCCACAAGGAAGCCTTTTTGACAGAGTCAGATATTTGTTTATATTGCTGTATACGACCCTTCAAAAACAGTTGTCACCATTGAAATTTTATGTATATGTGACTGATTAATGCCTGCTTTCCTAGAGCCATCTCTAACTTTCATAAGGGCAGGGAGTGTGCATTTTGTTTTTGTATTCCCTACATTTGACATATTTACTGAATTTGTGTGCATTGAATGAATTAAAAAGTGAATGAATATTTTTGATTATAGCTCTGATTGAGAAATAGAGTAGAATATATAACTAGTAAATAAAATAATTTAGCCTCCCCTTACCATGTTAGAGGATAACTATCATGCTTTTTTAGTCTTTAGTGTTTCTGACGGAAGTTCCAGCTACAAATTAACTGTTGAAAGGGCCCATCTCTTCTGCCTCTGTCAGGTCAGTACGATGCCAAATTAGTGATCGTAGGTGCCTGAGGCTACCATGTTCTTGTTAGAGGAGAGAGATATGCAATGCAACATACCCAGAAGTCTAAAGCTTTCTGGCTAAGAGAATGAAACTTCCATTTTCTCCTAAAGATACTGACTGTTGAGCTGAGACTCTCTTCTTAGGTTTGAAATTTCCAGAGAGCCTTGAGAAAATAATTATTTAGCCCTAAGGGAGCCCAGGTGTCTCAGTCAGTTAAGCATCTGACTCTTTGGTTTTGGCTCAGGTCTTGATCTCATGCTTTGTGGGTTCCAGCTTTGTGTTGGGCTCTGAGCTTGCTTGGGATTCTCTGTCTCTCCTCTCTCTCTGTACTTCCTGTGCCATGAGTGTGCTCTCTCTCACTATCTCTCTTTCTGTGTCAAAATATTATAAACTTAAAAAAGAATAATTATTTAGCCCTAGAAAATGCTGATGAATTTTTGAAGGAACTTGACAGTATGAAGTGGGGTAGGATTAGAAGTTTGCTGATAATTGATCACTGTACTTTGATATTAATTACAATTTTGTAACTTAAAATTAGGTGGTCAAATTCATTTCAAATGGAAAGTTTTAATTTATGATGTAGGGACAAAAACTCTGAGGTTTAACTGATTTCCATGATAAATTCTGGTATGTGTCATTTGAGGAAATGTACACTGTTTGTCTCCTGAAATTGGCATTGTTTCTTTGATGTATTTCCCCCATATTTATCTTTTTTTTTTAAGGGAATTATGGTTGAATTCAACTTGCCCTATTAGATGTAGCTTTATAAGACTGGACAAATGGACATAGTCATCTGGCCACCACCACAAGCAAGATCTGGAATGTTTTCATTATCACAGGTTCCTCCACACCCCTTTTGAGGGAGTTCTCTCCTTCCTCCACAGCCCCTGGCAACCACTGATTGATTTCTGTGTCCATAGCTTTGCCTTTGCCGGATTGCCCTATAAATGGAATCATGTAGTTTACAGTATGCAGCATTTTTGTGACTTCTTTCACTTAGCATAATGCTTTTGAGAATTGCCCAGACGATTGCATATATATCAAGAGTTTGTTCTTCTTAGTTGCTGGGTTAGTATTTCACTTTTGGTGTGGTGCAGTTTGTTTATCCATTCACCAGGTGATGGACATTTGGATTGTTTCCAGATTTTGATGATTACGATTAGGCTGCTGTAAAGATTTATGTATAGGTCTTTGTATAGACATATGTTTTCCTTTCTCTTAAGTAAAGAGCTAGGGACAAAATTTCAAGATTCCTGTAGGAAGAAACTGCCAGTTTTCCAGAGGCTGTACTATTGTGCATTGCCCTGGCAGCATTATTATAGTTCCAGCAATTCCTAGCTAGCACTTGGTAGGTTTCTTTTTCCCTTCAGCCATAGATATTGGCACATAGTAGTGTTTCATTTTGGTCTGAATTAGTAGTTCCCTAAAAGCTAATGATGTTGAACATCTTTTCATGTGCTTATTTACTGTCTGTATTGCTTTTTTTGGTGATAATACCATTGAAACCTTTTGCCTGTATTACTGGATTGGTTTTTTTTTTTTTTTAATTATTTAATTTATTTTGAGAAGGAGAGAGAGAGGGAGAACACGATCAGGGGAGGGGCAGCGAGAGAGGGAGAGAGAATCCCTAGCAGGCTCTGCACTGTCAGTGTGGAGCCTAGTGTGGAGCTCGAACTCGTGAACCACAAGATCATGACCTGAGCAGAAACCAAGGGTCAGATGCTTAACTGACTGTGCCACCAGGTGCCCCCAGATTGGGTTTTTGTTGTTTTTTTTTAAAACTGTATTTTGAGAGTTCTTCATATATTCTAGATATAAGTCGTTTATCAGATGTGTACTTTGTAAATATTTTCTCCCAATCTGTGACATGTTTTTTATTTTCTTAACCATCTTTTGGAGAAGATTTTAATTGTGAAGTCCAAGTTATCATCTTATGATTTGTACTTTTTTTGTTCCATTCTATCTAAGGAAACTTTGCCTCACAAGGTCTCAAAGACTTCTTGCCCCTTCTTTATCCTCCTTTCTCCCTACACCTCATGCTTCCTCCAACAGTTCCTCCAGAGAGAACTATTGCTCTGTGATGCTGTGCACTCTAATGCTTTTGATTCTCCCCAGCCCTAGTCACCATAGTTATCAGTACTTGCTAACCGCATAGGACACAGTGTCAGATACCGATTGAATAAGTACAGTTTTGAGGCAAGCATATGACAGTAACATACATCCCTTTTCACTGTGCAGTCAGAGAATGTTGGTTTGATGAAAGGAGGAATGTAGTCAAGAGAGCAAAGGTCTCAGAGAGAAGAGAGCACAAATAATACTTTACATTTATAAGTATCTGTATTTTTTGGGGTGCTTTTCAGGTTGCTCTGTAGCAACCTTGTGAAGTAGGCATGAACTGTATATCTTTTTCATAGATAAGCCCTCTGGCCTGTCCTGAATTGTTCAGGTAATAAATATCACTGCTGCCCAACATGGAATGTAAAATTGTCCTTTAAGAAGCTGCTATATTGCCCATCAGCCCAGTCCTCCGAGCATCTGCTCATTTGGCTTTCATTGTGAGGCGCATGTGCAAAGTGTTTCTTTTATCCACTTCATCTGAATGCACTTGGCTTGCATCCCTCCTGATCAGCAGTGCTGTAGGCCTTTGAGCAGCCTTGTCAGCTGCTCATCAGAATGATTCCTGACCTCTCTGAGGTTCCTCACACTGCGCCAGAGCTCCCAAGATGAGCTCCTTATGTAACAGAAACGTTACTAGTTAGACTATCCCAAATGACTTCCCAAATCTGGTGACAGTTTCTTTAGTCATTTTCTTGTTTTTTTTTTTTGTTTTTGTTTGTTTGTTTTTGTTTTTTTAAAAGGGGCAAGGGTGGGGGGAATAGAAACTAAAAATCAGAGCAGTTTATAAAGTTACTGTCAGAGCCAGGACTAGGTCTCAGATCTTATATTCTTTTCTTCTCCATTATACTTGGCATGAGTGTTTCTGAATGGTTGACTGTAGTGTTTTTAGAATGGGATGCAGTGGGACAGAGGGATAAGAATTAGCCCAGTAAACTACTGTGGTACAACACTTGGAGAACTCCTATCACTCCTTAGGACCTGGGTACCTGAATGGACTGAGAATTACTGGTTTCTTAAACTCCAGTGGCAGTTAATGGCTTAGCATTTAATATAGCAGTTGGATAGAAGGGAGTTCAGCCCCCTGTGCTGGGGGCATAGCCAAGGTGGGCCTTGCTCTATACCCCAGGCCAGGCCTCGTTTCCAGATCTCAATGAGAAAGAATGAAATCTGGCCATGTGTAGCAACATGGATGGAACTTGAGGGTGTTATGCTGAGCGAAATAAGTCAGGCAGAGAAGGACAGCTACCATATGTTTGCACGTATAGGAGGATTAGGAGGAACTTAACAGAGGACCATGGGGGAGAAGAAGGAGGGAAGTAGGCGGAGAGAGGGAGGGAGGCAAACCATGAAAGACTCTTGAATGTTAAGAACAAACTGAGGACCGATGGCTATGGGGGAGAGGGGAAGGGGGGTAACGGGCATGGAGAAGGGCACTTGTGGGGATGAGCACTGGGTGTTATATGGAAACCAACTTGACAATAAACTCTTTAAAAATTGAAAAGGGAGTTCAGCCATGTATGTTTGATGGATATGAGATAGTAGCACACTGTTTTAATTTGCATTTTCCTAATTATACTGAACTGAGAGTTTTTCCACGTTTCCACGTTTATAGGCTATTCAGGTTTACTTTTCTGCAAAGTGCTTGTGTATATTCTTCACACATTTTCCCTCTTGGATTGTTATATATTGATTTGTAAGAGTTATTTGTACATTCTTTTTTTTTAAATTTTTTAAAAATGTTTTATTTATTTTTGAGAGAGAGAGAGACACAGCATGAGCAGGGGAGGGTCAAGGAGAGAGGGAAACACAGAATCTGAAACAGGCTCCAGGCTCTGAGCTGTCAGCACAGAGCCCGACACGGGGCTCGAACCCATGAACTGTGAGATCATGACCTGAGCCCAAGTTGGACTCTTAACCAACTGAGCCACCCAGGCGCCCCTTATTTGTACATTCTTGACAGTATTAATTTTTATGTATTTTATAAGTGTTTTTTAAGCCTGATTTTTAAATTTAGTCTGAATAGTAAAATTTCAGGTGCATGTTAAATTAATCTTTTTTTTTTTTTTTTTTTTTACAAATAGTTTATTGTCCAATTAGTTTCCACAACACGTTAAATTAATCTTAAAGTTCATTTTTAAGGTTCTGATATTTTAAGTTCATCTTTTTTTTCTTTTTGTCTCTATAGGTTATGAAAGTGATATCTGATGAAACTGGATTGGAATGATTTTCATGATCTTTGTATATTTATATATATATATATTTTAAAATTTTGCATTTGACTTAAAGTGCCATGAGAAAATTTGCATATTGCAAGGTGGTCCTCGCCACCTCCTTGATTTGGGTACTCTTGGATATGTTCCTGCTGCTTTACTTCAGTGAATGCAACAAATGTGATGAAAAAAAAGAGCGAGGACTTCCTGCTGGGGATGGTGAGTGACAATTTTATACTGATACATCTCTTTCAGTAAGTATGTCACTGGTTTGTTCACTAATTTGGATACTACAAAATTTTCTTTTTTTTTTTAGATTAATAGTAATCCCTGGCTTCCTAAATGTGATGATCATATTACCAGCAGGTTTCTAGTAGGTTCCTCCAACAGTTAAAAAAAGATTAAAATATCAGTATAGAATTACTGAATTCAGTATTCGTGTTCAGTGGTACATGTAGTTAATTTTCTGCAAACTGTGTTACCAAGTAATGTGGAGGAAACTAATATTAATGGTTATTAAACTAATAATAATTAATAGTTGGAACCAGCAAAATGGTATGGCATTAGTGTAATGCCATAAATACTGAGTGGGGTGTTAAAATTTCATTGTCAGGTATTAAAAGATGTTTTTTTCCCGCCTTTCCATCTCAGTGCTGAGGGAAATCATTCTGGATGGAGGTGGTCTGGAGAGTTCTTTTTGTTAATGCTGTAAATAGCTCCACTTAGCACTTTTGGGGAGGGCTGTATAATCAAGGCTGCAGTGAGACTGCAATATCCAGTATAGAAAAGAAAGGAAACACAAATATGAAGGATCTAGGTTTGAAGTCTGACATTTTTGGTAGTGGACAGCTGGAAAATTTAGTTTTGAATACCTTGTGTTCAAACCAACAAACAAGTACTGCTCTTTATTTTTTATGTTTCTAACATAATAAAAATGACTTTGTATTATGAGTCAATAATTCAGCTGTTCTGGGCTCTGAACTCTCTATGATTAGTTATAGAAGGTCTGGCTATACAGTAATTCTACTATTTTTAGGAATTCTATGAATGATTACTGTTTTAACATAATTTTTATTTGAGTATGTAATCACAGTTAAATTTTTTATATTTTTATAATAAGAGCACCTGGTCCTCTAATAGTTATAATCTAAAAATATTTATATTGGTTAACTGACATACTTACTGTAATTTTTATAGATGGGATTGTATAATAAGTCCTGTTTATTTCTTCTTGGGAAATTTGCCTAAAATTAGACTCAGTTGCTTGCACTGGGCTCTAGTAATACCTACGCTTACCCCTCTCTGACTTTTTAATTTTCACTTTTTCCTTAAGTATTTTTTATTTTTTTAATGTTTACTTTTGAGAGACAGAGTGTGAGTGCAGGAGAGGCAGAGAGAGTGGAAGACACAGAATCTAAAGCAGGCTCCAGGCTTCGAGCTGTCAGCATAGAGCCTGATGTGAGGCTCGAACCCACAAACCATGAGATCATAACCTCAGCCGAAGTGGGACGCTTAACCGACTAAGTCACCCAAGCGCCCCTCCCCTTAAGTTTTAATAAAATATACTTTAATTCAAATTCATCCTATTAATTTGTTGACTTTCCTGGTTTACTCTGTGGCTCTGCTGTTTAGTACCTTTGTTGGTTGACATGATGGCTGCCTCCTTAACTGTTGTCAGAATATAACTCTGTCTACATTTAACTCAGAGGGCAGGTAGTACCATCCACCAGTAACTTGGATGTTCTTTTCCCAAGTAGAACAGATTAACGTTCCCCTCACCCTGCTTTAACTTGTTGCCATTTATAGTGGGAGCTCATGGTGTTCTATTTTAAATACAGAGACATAAAAGTTAAGAAGAATAGGACCGTTAGTGTGTGAAGATCCATTTGGTGAATGTTTTTAAAACTCTGGTACGTGCTGGGCAATATATTAGGAGCTAGTGATACAGAGTTCAACAACAGCAAAAAGTAAGACAGAATTCCTCCCATTGAGGAACTCACAGTCCAAGAGAGAAAGAATAATAAGTAAAATACTGATAGAATAAATAGCATTCTAGAGATGTGCACGAGAGCAGAAAGTCCTGGGAACACTTCGGGGTGTCTTAGAAGGTGCAGTAGGGAAATAATGCTCATGTTGAGAGGTGTTATGGTGAGCAGGTGTTTCTTAGGTTTGATGAACAAGCAAAGGAAAGAAGTATGTGCCAGATAAACAAGTGAGAACAGAGTTGATGGATAGAGAATGTGAGGGAAAAGCACAGATGAAGCTTGGGAGGTTAGCATAAGCCACAGCCCCGAAGGCCTTTTATGGCACGCTAAGGATTTTGGATTTCTTCCTGTAGGCAGTGGCATGCCATTGAAGGATTTTAAACAAGGGAGTAAGTAATCTGATGGGGAAAAAGCTTTGGTGGTCATGTGGCTGACGTACTAGAAGAGAATAAGGCAGCAGCTTGTTGAAGCTGTTGTGAAAGTTTAGAGAAGTTCTTGGAGCCTACGATAAAGTGATACTGAGGTAGAAAGGAAAAAAATATATAAGAAGTATGTAAACAGTGGAATTTATGTCACTTGAGGAGCCTCTGAATGTAGGTAATAATGGAAGAAGAGTTTAAGATACCTCTTGGGTTTCCCTGTTTGATGAATTGAGAGAAGGTAGGCCCCCAGAGGTGGAACAGCTTTGATGGAAAGCGGAAGGATGAGGTGGGTTGGGAATGCTTAACTGGGAAAGTTCTGGTAGAGATGTTCTGCAAGAGAGAACAGTCGAGGTACAGAACGAAGGTGGTAGTATAAGCCTGGGTGGTGCAGAAGACTGCATTGGGAGCATGTGTAGACTCAGAAGAGATGGACCCAGTGTTAGAGAGCATCATGGACATCAGTAAAGGAAGAGAGGCATCTCAGGAAGTTAGAGGTGGAAGGAGAAGCATGAAGGAAGGTGGTCATGAAAACCTTGGAGTGTTGGGTGTTAGAGATTTTATCTGCGATGAAGATGAGGTGTTTCTATATGCTTGGTAATGGGGTTTGTTTTAACCCTGGCAGGACAAAATGCTAGTGCAGTAGTTAAAGGAATGGAGGCAAAGTTTTATGTTTGTGTGTATTTTTGTGTACATTGAGGGAGAGGTTAAAATATAAGGGACAGGGGCGCCTAGGTGGCTCAGTTGGTTGAGCGTCCGACTTCGGCTTGGGTCATGATCTCACGATTTGTGGATTTGAGCCCCATGTCGGCTCTGTGCTGACAGCTAGCTCGGAGCCTGGAGCCTGCTTCGGATTCTGTGTCTCCTACTCTCTCTGACCCTCCCCGGCTCATGCTGTCTCTCTCAGAAATAAATAAAACGTTAAAAAATAAAATAAAAGGGACAAAAGTAATACCTGAAAGAGCAAACTCTTAGCAGATGAAACTGTGGTGTCAGAACCATAAAGAAAAGGATTGTCTCTGGGGGCGCCTGGGTGGCTCAGTCGGTTGAGCATCCAACTGCTGCTCAGGTCATGATCTCACCATTCGTGGGCTCAAGCCCCACGTCGGGCTCTGTGCTGACAGCTCAGAGCCTGGAGCCTGCTTTGGATTCTGTGTCTCCCCTTCTCTCTGCCCCTCCTCCACTCATGCTTTCTCTCTCTCTCTCTCTCTCAAAAATGAATAAAGATTACAAAAAAATAATTTTTTTAAAGGATTGTATTTGAAGAAATTGCCAAGGTTAATACAGTTTTGAAAACCATGGTAGCATGAGCGTCACAGATAAAAAATAGCTTTTATACAAAGTACAAAAGTACTAGGTAAAGGAGAAATGGTCTGGGAGTAACAGTGTGGAGCGGTGAGATCTCATCGGAACCTCCTGAGACACAGAGAATGAACAGTTCTCCCAGAAGAGGTTTGTGAGGGTGGTGCGCTCTGAGGGAAGGCAGATTTGAGTGAGATCCGGCAGAAGGGGCCTATGTGTTGTGGAGAAAGAGGATGAGGAAGCTTTACATGGGTGGGGGATAGAGGGGATCAGGCTGTTTGGATGACTGAGGAGGAGGAGGGAAGCGTGAGAGAAGGGCTGAGCAGTAAGCCAAGAGGTGAGGAAACTGTATGGAGAGGGGGTAAGAGGCTGACGGTTCCAGATGGGGCTTCAAAGCTAGCATACTTACTAGTTTATATACTGCAGGGAGCAGAAACGTTCCAGTTGTCATTGTAAGCAGCATCCAAGTCAGAGATGTTAAAATGTGGAAAAATTATTTTGGAATATATAAAAAAGATAATGCCTAAAAACACTAGAGATGATAATTGTGTACGGGCGCCTTGGTGGCTCAGTTGGTTAAGTGCCCCACTCTTAATTTCGGCTCTGGTCATGATGTCAGGTTTGTGGGATCAAGCTCTGCCTCAGGCTTTGCACTGATGCACAGAGTCTCCCTCTCCCTCACCCCTGCATGTGTGTGCTTGCTCTCTCTCTCTCAAAATGAATAAATAAGTAAATATTTTTAAAAAGGATGATAATTGTGTAATAATATAAAATTACTTAGGAGAAATGGTTTTAGCCTTTTATTTGTATTTTTCCTCAAAAGGGTATCATAACTTGTTATACCTCTTTATTCTGCTTATGTGAGAAAAATGCAAATTAAAAATTTGTAAGATTTATTAAAATACATTCAAAGGTATAGCCTGTGGTTTGTGTATATTAATCTGATTTGGTGGCATTCAGTGAATCTGTAGTTTTCTTGGTAATTAAGTTTTCAGAACATGATACTTTGGTTGCCTCTTAAGGTGGAGCATGCTCTTCGTCTTGAGGTTGTGAGTTCGAGCCCTGTGTTGGGAATAGAAATTAGTTTGAAAAAAAAAATCTAAAATCAAATAAAACATATTTATTAAGTTTTATAAGTGAGGTTTACCTGAAATATAAAATATATTTGTTCTCACGTAATACTATGGATTTAAAACACCTTAGTCTCTTTCTTGTCAGAGTTGATTTGATTTTTAGAAATGATCTGCATGTAAAATTTTATGCCAACCATTTCGGTTGGTTTCAAACAAAAATTTCACTGAACTTTTAATTTATGTAAAAGACTAGTAAGTAGAGTGTGTGGAAAGTTAATGTGTACCATTTAATCTGCAAGTACATTAGTAGTAAAAATATTTTCATTATCCACATGCATTTTATCCCGAGCTCTTTGCCAAAGAAAAGTAGTTTACTAGTCCATTTAATTATTTAGGATATTATAATCTCTAAATTAGAGTGTCATGGTGGAATCTGTAAGTCATCCAATAGTCCTATACTTTTTGGTAATTTCCATTATAGCTTGGAAGTCTCATGTATACCAGTAGGTTAAATTATTTATTGTGAATGCTGTACTAGATATTCAGGTTATTAATAAGTACCAGATGGTCAAATTAGTAAAATGTTGCAATAGCAGTATTGTATATGTTATACAGTTTTGTCTATTTCTTTAGATATTAAGACCAGAGTTTTACTTCACAACGATGGGGCAGGATTTTAACTTTCTGGTCATATAGTCTCTTAAGCTATAAGCTGTCAAGTTCATACTTACTAATCCTCACAGTAATAATTTCTAGAGTCCTCCTTCATGCTCCCTAACCCCCATGGAAAATGTCAAACATAAACAAAAGTAGAGAAATAGAACTTCCATATATTTACCATCTGGCTTCAGCAGCTTTTACTTCAAGCTAGTCTGGTGGCATGGATGTATGGATGCCTCTTTCTCTCTGTTCTCGCTTTCAGTCTTTTTTTGTTGTTGTTAATGAAGAAATTGGGTGGGTTTTTCCCCCCAACTTCCTCTAGTTAGGATTTGCATCCTTTAGCATTTTTTGTCATGTCCTTCAGTGCCCTATATTTTCTATGAACTGATAGGTAGGTCTGGAGGCTTGATCAAATTCAGGATCTCCCCTTTCCCGACCACCTCACCCCAGCAAAAATATGTTATAGGTGGTGTTCTGTATAACTTAATACTCTTAAAATTTGTTTAACTTTTTAAAAAATTTACTTTTGAGAGACAGACACAGAGCATGAATGGAGGGAGGAGCAGAGAGAGAGGGAGACACAGAAACAGGCTCCACCCTCTGAGCTGTCAGCACAGAGCCCGACGTGGGGCTTGAACCCACGAACCGTGAGGTCATGACCTGAGCTGAAGTTGGATGCTTAACTGACTGAGCCACCCAGGTACCCTGGGTATAACTTAATACTCTTAATTTAAAAGTCAAGCAGCATGAAAATGTTTTTTCCATTTTAACTTTAAAGCATCATCGTCTACTAAAATTGGGCTCTGATAACCAAAAGGTATTTATAAGCAGAGCCACTAGATGTCTCCCACCCACTCTTTGTGTTGACTGTGCCCTGCACACAGTATGATTGCCAGTTCCAGAACTCAGCCGCTTTCTCTTCACCCCTGAACATCCCAGTCCCCAAATCTGTTGGTTGCTTTTTTTCTTTCTTTTTTTTTCAGAGACAGTTAAGTAAGTAGAATTGACTCCAGTAGGAGTTTTATAATTTATGATTTTTAAATATTTCAAATCATGTATGGGAATTAAACATCTGTACTTGTATTATAGTTTTCATTACACTTGTGACTAAGAAAGTTTGAAATTCTATCAACCGTGATATTTAAAGAGCTTAGTTACTTGGCAAACTTTAGACAGGCTTTGTTTTTAAAAATTGTTTTACAGGAGTTTCCTATAATTTTGAAGTTATTTCCTAATAGATTTTTAAAGTTTATTAATTTTGAGAGATCGATTGAATAGGGGGAGGGGCGGAGAGAAAGGGAGAAAGAGAATCCCAAGCAGGCTCTGAATTGTCAGCAAAGGGGAGCCTGATGTGGGGCTTGAACTCATGAACCGTGAGATCATGACCTGAGCCAAAACCAAGAGCTGGTCGCTTAACCAACTGAGCCACCCAGATGCCCCTATTTCCTAATATTTTAATGCCTTCCCAAATCAAGTTCATTCTGAGAACAGGAGCAAAATTATCTTATAACATTTTTTTCTTGATGGTAGTCTAAGATAGGTTTTTATATTCTAGACAGAGTTGTTGAAGACACAGTAATTTCATATTCTATAGCTCTGGTGTTGATAGGTGGCTTTCCACCATGATCTGAAACAACCATCATCCAGGTCAGCTTTACCAACTAATTCTATTCTTGGGCAGATGAAGCCTGGCAGAAGAGAGATGGCTTGCCTGCTACCTTGATGTCTCTATTTTTGCGCAGACATTTTTGGAGGTGCCTAAAAAATAAACAGGAGAATAAAAATTTCAGTTGTAAAAATAAGTAATGTACAAAACAGGTATTTAAAATTTTTTAATGTTTATTTTTGAGGGGGTGAGGGGCAGAGAGAGAGGGAGACAGAATCTGAAGCAGGCTTCAGGCTCTGAACTGTCAGCACAGTTCCTAATGCAGGGTTCAAACTCACAAACTGTGAGATCATGAACTGAGCTGAAGTTGGATGCTTAACCAACTGAGCCACGCAGGTGCCCCCAAAACAGGTATTTTTATCCCATTCTTGGCCTCACCCCATTCTCTACCCATCCCTTTTATTTTTTCCCATCCCTTTTAGATGTGCAGTGTAATACACTTTTTTTCCCAAGTTTAATATATCTGAGAACTTGTTTTACTTGGAACATTTTTTAACATCTCAAAAGTGTAAAACAAGGAATAATATTTGGAAATTGCTGATCTGGAATATTACTGTTTTTATGTTACCAAGTGATAACATGACTTCAGATTAGAAAGATCTTTCAGGATGCTCCACCTTGCTTGATGTTTATTCTAATGTCTATTATCAATTCTAGGGTTTCATTTTGACTTATTTTGAATAGCACTTTTGCTCACATATAAATTATGCATATACTTATAAAACTCCTATCAGACACTGTGCTAAACTCCACAAAAGGTACACAAATGAATCAAACCTCAGCTAAAAGGAGACCATAATCTACTGGGGAGTCCACAAGACAGGTTAGCAATCATTATAGGAGGTAGTAATTGATTAGAGATCTAAGAGCCCTAGATGAAATGATGTGGCAGTCAGGAGTAGCAGATGATCACTGCAGAGAGATTTGGAAAAGCTGCAGGCAAAGGAAGCTGTTGTAGCTGGGCCTCGAAGGACAAGTAGGGGTTTGCTATTGTAGAAATAGAAGAGGGGAGATGCCATGGGAGGGGGCCTGTGTGAGCAAAGGAACCAACACAGGAAAACATGAAGCACTTCTGAAGGAAAGTAGTGAGTTGTTATTTGACTAAAAAAATGATGTACTGGAGTGGGCATGAGGGGTGTGTGGCATAGTAGAAGGCTGAGTAAGAGGAGCACCTGCCTGGCTGAGTCAATTAAGTGTCTGACTTTGGTTCAGATCATGATCTCGCGGTTTGTGAGTTTGAGCCCCACGTCGGGTCTGTGTTGACAGCTCAGAGATTGGAGCTTCCTTTGGATTCTGTGTCTCTCTCTTTGCCCACCTCCCCCCGCCCCCATGCTCTCTCTGTTGCTTTGTCTGTCTCAAAAATAAGTAAACATTAAAAATTTTGTGGGTTTTTTTTTAATGTTTTATTTATTTCTGAGAGACAGCATAAGCAGGGGAGGGTCAGAGAGAGAGGGAGATACAGAATCTGAAACAGGCTCCAGGCTTGGAGCTAGCTGTCAGCACAGAGCCCCACACGGGGCTCGAACCCATGAGCGGTGAGATCATGACCTGAGCCGAAGTCGGACGCTTAACCGACTGAGCCACCCAGGCGCCCCTAAAAAAAGTTTTTTTAATTCCCTATTAAAGGGTTAGACTCAAGGAGACCATGGGAATACCGCAATGAAGGTCATGCTTTAGAGAGGTTAATGTGGTGATGATATTTGAGACGGGAATGCCAAGGCTGTGTGCAATTCAGGTGAGTAAGCAGTGCAGGGTGTGGAGGTCTTGTGTAAGGACAGTAGTATGGAAGCGGAGGACAGGGCAGCCCGAGGAGGTTTCACAGACGGAGAGGATGGGCTCAGAGATGGCACTGAGTACTGAGGGCACAACTTAAACTCATGTTATTAAACAGAAACATTTATCAATTTCTGTAAAATTGTTAATTAAGTTTCCTCCTTATTCTTAGTTCTAGAGCCAGTACAAAAGCCTCATGAAGGTCCTGGAGAAATGGGGAAACCAGTTGTCATTCCTAAAGAGGATCAAGAAAAGATGAAAGAGATGTTTAAAATCAATCAGTTCAATTTAATGGCAAGTGAGATGATTGCACTCAACAGATCTTTACCAGATGTTAGGTTAGAAGGGTAAGTACCTAGTGTGGTCCTTTTGGCATTTAATTAAAATGAAAAGTGTATTCTTAAGTCCCAGTAAATTGCATTTTAGTGTTGACTATTCTGAAAGTGAACGTTATAACACTGTTACCGCTGATCCCATTTAACTTATTAAATGCTGATAAAAATAGTACGGATACTTAGGCTGTATATTTTAGGCTTTAGGTTAGTAGGGGATTTTAAATTTATCAAAATGTTCCTATAATCAGCTTTTTAAAAAAGGTTCTTTTAAGTTGTGTGTAACTTAAAATAGTAATGTATACAGTCTTAGGTGTACAGATTACTGAATTTTTACATATATATACATACGTGTCTAATCATCCAAATGAAGATATATATTTTATCTGAATATACCATAATTTATTTACACATTGATAGACATTTGGGTTGTTTCCACCCTTTGACCGTCATGAACAAAGCAGCTGTGACATTCTTGGGCATGTCTTTTGGAGGACTTAGACTTTTGTTTCTGTTTGGTGTGTCCAGGGAAAAGGAATAGGTTTACACTTAAGTAGCATTAGTGTGTGCTGCCAAACATTTTTCCAGGATGATTGTGCCATTTTACATTCCCATCACAGTACGAGAGGCCCCCTTGCTCCATATGAAAGTACATAAGGTATCTGGGCTGGGGGACAACAGGCCCAGTTAAGAGCAAGTGAACTCTACGGAAAACACATGGAGCAAGTGGGCAGATGCATCTAGCTCCTGAGACCCTATCACCTTGCCTGCTCTGGCTCCCATTAATGCCACCAGCCAGGCCTTTCCCTCTCCCAGCAAGAGATTGGAGGATCATTCTTAACACAATAGGACTAAACACACACAGTGTGGGCGGGGGGGGCACAAGCATACTGGTAGTAAGCATCATTCAGGGCTAATCATCAGCTTTTTGGTTCCCTATTTTGATAGCAAATGGGTAACCAAGGAATATTAGACAATGACAAGAAACCCTCAAACATGAAAAGTATAGTCCCAAAAAGAGAAAAAAAACAACTTGGAAGAAGCAAAAACTATTCAGGGAGACAAAAACTTAAAAAGAAATCATTAATTATCTCAATGAAATAAGATATTACAACCATAAAACAAGACTAGGGTACTGTTCAAAAGATACACTAGGAGAGCCAAAAAGAGTTCTGGGGAGTTTAAAAAGAAAGAAAGAAAAAGACAGAACTCAATTGCGGCTCAGCAGCAACCCTAGAAACAAAGGACTAGCATTCTAGAGGAAAATAATTTCCAATCTAGAATTCTTTATCTGTCCAAACTTTCAGTCAAACGTAGAAGTTAAAAAGGGGCATTTTTAGGGGCGCCTGGGTGGCTTAGTCGGTTAAGCGTCCGACTTTCGCTTAGGTCATGATCTCGCGGTTCGTGGGTTCGAGCCCCGCATTGGACTCTGTGCTGACTGCCAGCTCAGAGCCTGGAGCCTATTTCAGTCTGTGACTCCCTCTCTCTCTGACCCTCCCCTGCTCATGCTGTCTCTCTCTCTCTCCTAGAAATAAAAAAAATTAAAAAAATAAAAAAAAAAGGGGGGCATTTTTAGAAATGCCGGGTCTCATAACACTGAATTGCCACACATCCTTTCTTGGGAAGTTACTGGAGATTATGCTCCACCAGTTGAGGACTCAAACTAAGGAAAAGAGGGACACAGGATATAGAAGACAGGAGATCTGACATAAAATAAGTGTGGTGGGCAGACGTTGAGGATGGTGGAGGGAGAGCCTCCTCAGGCCAGGAGGCGGCCCACCCAGATGCAGGTAGATCAGGATGTGCACACCAGGAGAGACTTCAAGAAGGTGAGGCATGGTATAGCTGAATGTCTCTGGAAGAGACTTAAATCTGACACTTGATGGAGAGTTTGGGATGCAATTAAGAAGTACACAGGAAACAGTAGCAAGGAAGAAATTGTCATTCCAGGAGAAACTTTAAAAAGTCATTCAGAGAAAGCAAGAGCAATCATCATTTACTACATAGCACAACTGTGAATCAGTCCTAAAATGTCACCGTTTAATATTGTGCATATGACAGTTAAACTGGTGGGGGAGGATTGAGAGTATCTCTTTGTTCATCCAGCAGATTCACTGTAAATCTCAGGTTTTCACAAGCTGCTTACTCTCCAGAACAATTAAAGAACAACTTTCTTACTAAAGAAAGCCAGAATCTTCAGGGAAGCCTGCAGTTAAAATTTGAATGATATCTGTGTTAAAAGAGACTCACTTATTATTGTTTTGGCAGAGTTATTTTCTAATTGTAGTAATTCCCCTGTGTACGTTACCACTCTTCACACATTTTGTTAAGCATTTACGTTTTGAGCGGTGTTTAAATGCTGGGATACCCAGGCTTGTGCACTCAATTTTGGGCTTGTTGAGAACTGCTCAGATTTGAAGGTCTTACTTTGCACAAGATGCTGATCATACACAGTGCTTCTTATCAGGCATTTGGTCCCTGTGAGAGGGAGCCACGTAGGAAGCTGGCACAAAGTCACACCTGCCACTGAGTGGCATTTTTACACTTTGCTCCATCTCTGTGCAGGTATCCTTTAAAGTTTTTTGTTTGTTTAACTTTTATTATGGGAAATTTCAAAAGTATACAGAAAGAGACAACAGTATAATGAATCCTCATGTGTTCATCACCTTACTTCAATAATCCCTAATAGTCTTGTCTCTTAATACCCTTTTCTGTGTCCCCCAACAACCTCTGTCTCCCGGTATTTATACCTCTATGTATCTTCTGCACTGTGCTAGGATTGGTCTGTATGACCAGTAGAACACAGTACAAGTGATGGAGTGTCGCTTTCAGGATTAGGCTATAAAATACATTGTGGTTTACAGTTTGGTTTTTTATTCTCACTTGGATCATTAGCTCTGGGATTAGCCAGCCGACTTGACAGGGGCATCCCTGTGGTAAAGCCCATGTGGTTTGTGGCCTTTTGTGAATAACCAGCTGAGTGCGCTTAGAAGCAGATTCTCCTATTCCAGGCAAAGGCATATATCATTTATATATTTCATTATGTATCCCTGAATGATAAGGGCTTACAGAGAAAGGAAGGAAGGTAGGAAGGTCATGATACCATTTTCATACCTAAAATAATTAACAGTGACTCCTTAATAACATGAAATACCTAGGTAGTGTTCAGATTTCCCGAGTTTATGTCATACTTTTTTTTGTAGTGTTTTTATCAGGATCCCAATAAGATCCACACATTGCAACTGGTGCACGTGTCTCTTAAGTCTTAGTCTCTGTAGGTTCTCTCTCCATCTTTTTTCTCATTGGACTTTTGTTATTTGAAGACCAGGCTGAATGTCTTGTATCTTCCCTCAGTCTGCATTTTCTGGACTGCGTCACTCCAGTGTCATTGGCTCTTCCTCCGTTTCCTCTCTTTGGTGTGGATTGGTAGATTAAAGGCATTTTGTACCAGTATCCTCCAAGTCAACTAAGGTGTGTCTGTGGTAGGAAAGGTGTGCGGTCTGGTCAGTCATGTGCATCACCATTGCTCTGTGTCCATCGGTCTGTTTTTTTCTTTTGGAACTCCCATTAGCCAGGCTTTGGGCTACTCACATTGATTCTCTTAGTCTCATATTTTTGTCTGTTTCTTCTTCCAGGGAAAAATTCTAGACTATCTTCGAGCTATTCTTTTGAATTTATTTGTTAAATTTTTTATTACTAAGTCTTTGTTATCTGACATTTTTAAAATGTAGGCACAAAATCCTGTACTTTACCATTTTTATACATGTAAATATTTGTGAGATATTTAGTATAACAATAGCATTTTAAACTTTTTAGTTTTTAATTTTTTTTCACTTTATTTCTTTTGAGTGAGGGGGAGAGAGAGAGATAGGGAACGGGGGAGGGGCATAGAGAGGGGGAGACAGAATCAGAAGCAGGCTCTGTGCTCTCAGCACAGAGCCCAATGTGGGGCTCAGACCCACAAACCGTGAGATCATGACCTGAGCTAAAATCAAGAGTTGGGTGCTTAATCAACTGAGCCACCCAGGTGCCATAGTCTTTCTAGTTTTTAAAGTAAATTTAACTTTGGTTTAAAAAATAGTTCCATGAGTCAGGCTGCTTTTAAAGGTCTTCAGAAAAATGGCTGGGGCCAGGATAATTGAACTGGCTTTGAATCCAGGTCCTCTGCCTCTTAATTCTCTTCTTTCTCTACCTAATTGCTGAAAGTTACTTTTCTCATTTTCTTAACCATTCCTTTTAATGCTAGGTTAAATCCTGGAAACAGATTAAAATAATGTATTTGCTAGAATTCTATTTATTTTCTTCTATCAGATAAGCTTGTCTGAATGAATTTGTGGAAGTTGCTTTGCTTATAATTTTTAAGATTTTATATTTTTCAAGTGCTTTCAGTAATTTTGACATTGTTTTATAAATAATTGTCATTTCTGGGGTGCCTGAGTGGCTCAGTTGATTAAGCATCCTGACTTAGATTCAGGTCATGATCTCACAGCTCGTGAGTTCCAGCCCCACGTCAGGCTCTGTGCTGACAGCTCAGAGCCTGAAGCCTGCTTTGGATTCTGTGTCTCCCTGCCTCTCTTCCCCTCCCTTACTCGTGCTCTTCTCTCAAAAAAGAATAAACATTAAAAATAATTTTTTTAATAATTGGCATTTTTTGGGGGGTTTATTTATTTTTTAGAGAGACAGAGCACCAGAGGGAGACGGTCAGACAGGCAGGGAGACGCAGAATCCGAAGCAGGCTCCAGGCTCAGAGCTGTCAGCACAGAATCTAACATGCGGCTCGAACTCACAAACTTTGAGATTATGACCTGAGCCAAAGTTGGTCACTTAACTGATTGAGCCACCCAGGTGCCCTAAATAATTGTCATTTCTAAGGCTGATGGTGATTTTGTTTCACTTAGATAAAATTTTGTGGATATTCTAGCATAAATACTACTTTTTTGTGCCTTTGTCTTCTAATTTGGTTTCTACCTGCTTCATGAAATGTACATTTTTCTGTTATAGAAGTTTAGCAAATC